GATGTGCCATGAAATCCCTCTCTTGCCGAACCAGTCTTGCTGTGATTCTCTATATAGCTGAGGGAGGAATTTCATGGCCCAGTCGCTAACAATAAGAACGGTGTCGTTGTTCAACAGTTCAAGCACATCCAGCCTCGATTTATCCTGCTGTACGGACCGTAATTGATGCGCCTTCCACGCCTGCACTGATCTCTTGGCCGCCTCGAACAGGAACAGAGCTTCATCACGTTGTTCCTCGTCAGGAAATACGGCATTTTGCGCGGCTGTTCCAATTTCATATATTGCAACATCGAGGGCATGACACTGATCACACAACTCCTCGTGCTTGTGCTCGCAATGCTGTCTGAAGGAGGACTCGGATACGTCACTCAGAGCGTAAACGCTGCAGTGATCGGCCACTCTTGCTTCACTGTTGATATGCACCTTAATAATGATAAGAAGATTCTTTGTTACTTTCCTATTTTAGCATCCTTACTGTTGAATACTGCTGTTGATGTTGACGTGAAAAAAAGATTTTAAATTGTAATTCCTATTAAGATATTTATTTAGTTATACGGAAATCCTAAGATTAGGATGACTCTTAAGTCAAAGGCACGGAAAAAATGTGCCCATGATCAAGGAAAAAGGGAGAAGTGGAGGGAAAAAGGAAGGGAGGGAGAAAACTTTCGCAGACAGTCGTCTAAAAGCAGGAAACGTTCTAACGTGTATTCAAATTCTCAGTGGTTGTCTTAAGGATGACTGATAATGACTCACGCAATTTGGTGATGATGTTAACTGTCAAATGTGATCAATCAGAGCGTATACCAGAAGCTGGGATAACGGAGAAGGCCGTTAAAGAAATGATTACAGGCTCCACCTCCTTCCTCTCCCTAGTTTCCTCCCGTTTTATTTTCGAGTTCGCGCCTCCTCAATTTCGCGAACCCGACTATCTTGGAGCCTGAAACAGGCTAAGAATAAAGGGTTTTCACTATAGTCAACGGGTTACGCTCTCGCGCCCGTCATGCTGTTTTATAATTGATTATGGCATGTAAAAGTTAACCCTCGGACGTACCACCCCTCCCCCCCCCCCATCCCCCAAGGTTTTTCTGAGTTTTCTCCTAGAGGATAAAACATTAGCACCTGATGCTTTCAGTAGCTGTTCGTTCATTTTGAGTCATGTTCAGTGATGGTCAGTTTCTATGGTAACGAGATATTAAAGTAGGAGGTGGTCAAGCCATTTTTGAGCAAAAGTACATGTTTTGTCAACTTTTTTCAACAATAGCAGGAGCCCATAACCCATGGGCTCCTAACAATAGAAGAAAATCTTGTGGCTAAAATCATGCAAAGTGCTTATTTATTATTTTTTCTTGTAGAGAAGATCAAAGGCTTTCCACTCAAAGTAAAATTGTTTCGAAATACTTCAACATACCAAAAACTCTAGGGGGGATCCATCCACCCCTCCCCCCTTGTACCACGGTGGGGGTATAAATTTACATGTACGTCCGAGGGTTAAATAAATATCTTATCATTATTATAGTAATTGTTTACCGCTACGATAATAACGTTATCCTGGTTAATGTAAGTATCATCTAACGCGCGATTTTTTTAAATTCGAAACGCAAATACAATATAGTTTGAATCATTAACAGTTACCTTAAAATCACTCTTTAGGTAGAGCTTTCCTGCTTTTAGCTGATCTTTAATTCTTCCGCCCCACTCTTCTCCGTTAGTTTTGAGTAACGAAACGTTATCTGCTATGGAAGCAAGGTCATCAAATGCTCTCCCTCCTTCCGCCGCGAAATAATCTAGCCCCTGTAGGGACGTGCGGACAGACGCACTACACTCTGACAGAATTCGCAACAGGGTACTTCGACTTGAAGGCTTAAAATTGGCCTCAGCACAATACTGATTGTACTGTGTCACAATCCGTTCAGGTATCATTGTGCGCACTATGTTTGGCACAGTGATTACCTTCCCGGAAGAGAGGTGAAGGTGTTTTTCCCAAAATGGAAAATCTTGTACTAAATGAGGGCTAGTTATAAAACCCAGAAAGTGATCTAATTGTTTTGGCTCTATTTGAAGTCTCGGAGCCTTTTTTTCGGGTACGGGGAGCATTTCTTCCATGCTGAACACCGTGAAGCTTGGCCATCGTATATCGATACTGGGTCAAACCAGGTATAAATGTGGAGATGGCTTTAAAGGAAGCCACTCCTGTCATCACGGACAATACCTGACGACGAGTATCCCAGGAGGCTGCGTTACTGTATGACTCAGCCAGAGCCTCTAGGTATCCTACCTCTGAAGGTAGAGATGCGGCATGAAGACCCAGCTGCCGGTTCACAACATCAGATGACTGGAGTGCTTCCCACAAATGGGGTGCGTTAATTGGCGAAATGGTTTTAAGGACGGTGGAAACTATGTCGCTGGATCACTGAATGTATCGGGACCGTGTTCGGCTGCTTACCTCGCCCCATTCCAGCCAAGGTCTTCCAAGCGGTTGAATATTACATTGGTTTAGAAAAGTATTGAGCAATTCACGCGGCTGCGTTCCAGCGGTTGAGGAGCCATTCCTGTCTCCAGTTGATGAAGCAGTACTTGCGGTCTCCGGAGAAAGAAAAGATTCATCTGCTATCTTCATGTGGCTGAAGCCGGTTGCTAGCTCGTCGGATGTGCTACTGGTACTGACCTTTTCTTCCTGTAGTGATAAAAGAAAAATGCACTGCTTATAAAACACATCAGCTCACTTCACAGCCGAGCTAAAATGCATTGAATCACACGAACTTTAGTATCTTCCTTCCAACTTGCGGTAACATCACTCATCGAACGTCGTCGAGTGTGGTTACAACCCTCTAGAAAACAAGACAAGAGACTTTTTACCTCTCTTTGAAGCTCTGTTCCAGGCGTTCAGATGGTAGAGAGTGGTACGAAATCACTCCCTTTGCGCCTCACTAACTGTTTGATCGCCTAGAACAGGCTTCGTCCTTTTTCGTACATCCTATTTTTTTCAACACAGAGCAAACAAAGAACACTCAATTTGAAATGTAGCTTACCTCTTCGACCTGTGCAGACTCAAGTCTTTCTTGGTCTTCGGCTTGGGTACCGCCACCGGTTACTTCCGGTGCAGAATCCGCAGGTTCACGGGTGACCTCTTCACTAGCAACGAGGCCGACTAAATGCTCTCTGCATTGCTTGCAGATTGCTGAAGTTTAAAAGAACAAACAATTTGTTAGAAATTAATATTTTCGAAAAGCAAAGTTCAGAAAAAACAGTGTACCGTCCTTTAAACATAACCTAGCATAAAGTATATGAAGTGATTGATAAGGCAATTTTTTTAAAATTAAGGTAAATGTAGGGTTGATCCTCAAAGCAAAAAGTACCCAATACCACCCTACCGACCCCTCCTCCTCCTTCTCTGAGCTAAAAATAATAGCCATGACGTAATGGTCAGCTGAGAGCGGCTTTGATGTTGACTAAAATAATAACATAAAAAAAATACTTACGTGAGCCCAAAGGAACGAGCACCTTCGTTGCTCGCAAAATATACGCGGATATCATCTTCTTCAAGCCGCATTGAGCCTTCGGGGTGCCTTTGTGTACAGCCACCCTATCAGGGACGGTACAACGTGATCTATTGCACCGCCACCTGGTACCAAACAGTTCGCGATGGCGAGGACAAACTGTCATTTTAATATGTAAATCTTAGGCTCAAACACGCCTAATGTAGAGATAGAAGATGTTGTTTATCATAAGCACTAATTAAAAAGAGAATTTTAAGGTAGAATTGATCTTTGTTTATTGCAACAACTCAGTATCTTACCTGCTCGCGCGAGTAGCAAATTAGCCTCGCTGTCAACACAGTCGTCGCTGATCTTGCAGTAAACCAAGTGACTGACGATATCTTTTGTACAATCGCCGATTGCAATGCATTCAACATTCGCAGGATTAGTTGTACTGGGGCCACAGGGGCCACCAACCAAGTTTGAATATGTACAAGACGCCATAAGATTGACTTGTACCACATAACTTTAGACCGTGTAGACTGGCCAGGAATTTTCTTTTCGGGCGCGTCACGCGTCACGCACTTCCGGAATGACATATTCTTCCCTTCGTGGTGACAGAAAACTTTGATACGACCTGCCTGCTGCAAGTTCCAGGCACAAACTCTTTAAGAGCGGATGTTTCTTCGTCTAGCATTCATGAAATTAGGGTAAGTTAATATCTCCCCTGCTTTTAAGGTTTCGACGGATACGAATATAATTATAGTAAGAGTATAGGTTGACAATATTTGAACTGCAAGTGTATCTGTGCATTATGGTTTATCCCAAACATCTGTTTCAAAGGCATCGTGTTTGAGCTGACAGAAATGCAGATTTATAGTCGGTAGCCGTTAAAACTCTGAAAAACGTTCAAATGTCGAGGAAACTATATTTTCCAACAGAGAATTTTTTCGAAGCGTAGTAACTTGTTTGTTTCACGAGCTCTCGTGGTGTCAAAATACCCTTCAGATTTTGGTCTCTCGACGGGGCGCGTATGGAATGCCGCCAGAAATTTTTTAACACAAGAAACAGCAAACAATGTGCTTTAAAACAGTGTTTGTTTGATGTTGAAATGCCACGTACCAATTGGGTTTTTTCGATGGTGAAGTTAGGTCAAATTTGCCATTTTTGCAAAGAGCCGAAACCGTGTTTCTTCTCACGACCGCCACAGTCATATTTAAACAGCTTATCTAAAGTTAATTACTGAATTATAAAGCACAAGTCTTTGTTTGTTTTGTGACTTGATTTCATTCAGAGATATTAACCCGTTTTTATGTACGAGGGCGAAGAAAATGCTCAATTTTCACTAATTTCATACTCGAAAGAGCGCCGATTTACCGTTTTTCAAACTTTGCCCCATTCCTGAAAAAATAAAAAGCCGTCACAAGTTTTAATGTGATTTTTGAAATAAGTGTACTATAGAGATTATTTGGGCAAAATATGAAGAAATTCAAAAATTCACGACTGTCAACCGATTCTCGAAAATTACAGACATTGTCTCTTAAGAAGGCTGTCGAACTTGGCATATGTGAATGGTATTAGGCCCCTTCTTGAGGGTGCTGGCAAGACGAAGGCTGGACCAGACAGGGTGGCTGGCACAAGCTTGAAGGCATGCTGTAGTGCAGAATAGGGACACAGTGGGTGACCTGGGATGAGAGGTAGTGGTACAGTAAGGAGACGTTGACTAAACTGGATGGTTTTAGACCACCGGTTGATGACAATGGCCCAGCCTGGGTAGAACACAATGTCACTTCGCCTAAGATGCTTTAAAGGGTTGAACTTGGTAACACCCTTCAACAACATATTAACTTTGTGAAGAAGTCCAAAGAAGCCTGTTAAGCAGACAGCCCAAAAGGTGGCATGGACTGGGTCTGTCAAGTTCAAATGTGACTTGATAGCCAAAAGCATTGCAGGGGTCATGGGTTGTTTCTGTGAGACTGTGCAGCCTTTGCAGCGACGTATACCACGCAAGGTTATTGCTAAGTGGAAGTTATTCTTGGTAGGGTCTTCCAGGCCATGTTCCAAATGGAGAATACGGCCAATGTTAAGATAAGCTGGAATAGAGGAAGCAGACAAAGAGCGTGCCAAGAAGGCTGCGTAGCGGCTAAGTGTGATGGTAGACGCTGGAAGTGGCTGGTGCCCATAATATACGCAAAAGGTAAGATAGGCTCGCAGTTGACTTTTGTAAGCGGCCTTGGTGGAAGTTGCATAGGCTTGTTTTCGAAACTTAAGAACCTCCATGTCCAATCGTGACTGATGGTCTGGATCTGAGGAAAGCAAGCGACAAAGGTGACATCTGAGACAAAAAGTCTTCAGTAGAGGAAGAGGACCGTGAGAGCCATGCGTGAAGTGCGTGTCGGTGGCATGTTTCGTCAAGTCTAGAGATACTGTCGGCAATAACATTGGCTGAGCCAGGGATGTGCTCAACAGTTAGTTGGATAGCATAGTACTCTGACAACCAGAAGAGCTCTCGGAGCCAATCAATCATGACAGGGTAGGGGGTGGTTCCTTTGTTTACAATTGCTGCAGCAACTTCACTATCTGACTTGACTACAACCCTTTGTCCTGACCAGGATGGGGCCCATCGTTTGGTTGCCTGGAGAACCATGAAGGTTTCGTTGTAGTTGATATGCAGGGGGCAGATATTTGGGAAATCTAGTGCCCAGTTAACGTATAGCCAATCATTGTGCCAACAACAGTCACCACCTGCAGGGGAAGCATCAGTATAGGCTAGCGCAGATGTCATAGGTAGCTCGTTGGGGAATAGGGATCTGCAGTTGAAAACAGGAAGAAGGGATGCCCACCAATGGAGGTCTGCTCTTGCTTGGGTATTAAGGTAAACATGATGGTGACGATGTTTTGCAGAGTTCATTACAGTAATCAAGCGTCTCAAAAAGGTCCGGCCCCCTCTGACGACCCGAGCAGCCCAGCTTAGTTTTCCAACAAGGCGTTGAAGGTGATGTTTTTGGCACTTGCGCTTGGTTAAGGTTAAGTTCAAAATGCCTAATAGCTCAGAGACGCGGACCCTGGGGAGCCGTAGTACACGATTCACTGTATCCATTTCGACTCCCAGAAATCACAGGGATTGGCTGGGTTGAACAACCTTTGACCAGTTTATTGTGAAACCAAGTGACTGAAGCAAATCGAGGAGGGTGTCCACAGCGATTTGACACTGCTGCTGACTGGGTTCTATGATGAGGAAATCATCCAAATAAGCAAGCACTGTGAAACCTCGTCGGGCCATCATTCTACAAACTGATTGGGTAAGGCGGTGGAAAACCATAGGAGAGGTTCGAGCACCAAAGGGAAGGCGTTTATCAAACAGGAAAGTGATGTCGGTAGTACCTTGAAAAAGCTAAGACATGCCAGTGACTTTCCAGCTGCTGGGGTGAGTACCAACACTGCGATAAGCATGTTTTAAATCAATCTTGGCCAACCAAAAACCTGGTTTGGCTTTGCATGCTGCCTCATCAACTGTAGTATATTTGTAGTGGTCAAGGTCCATGTAGGAGTTTGCACTCAATGCAAGCGGTCGACTGCAATCCATAATCAGTCTCAACTCTGAAGAGTCCCTTTTGGGTACAGCTCCAATAGCATTAACAATGATGGGGGGTGTGTTTGAAGATCCAAAATGGCCTAGTGAGAGGCCCTTACATAGTTGCTCTTCAATCTGCTCTTTGGCTACTGGACTAAGCGCCGATCTGTTGTTCTTTGTGAAAGCTGGTAAAACAGTAGTATCTCGCGGAATCAAGTCAAACCCTTCTCGTACACCATTGAGAATAAAGTCTCTGTCCAAATCATTAGCTAGTTCCTTTGCCCATATCTCATATTTTAAGTCTGTGGAAATACAGGCTGCATCGGGCTGCTGCGCATAACATGAGGGCCCTGTTGATTGGTTGGAGTCAGCAACACACTCTGCTGTTTCTAAACTAACGTATGGGTATTTCCCTGCTATAGGTGATGCGGTCGAGCTATCCCCTGCAAGTGGCTCCACGAAAGAATTGAGAAATAGCTCTGCAGGCGAGTGTGTGTTCAGGCTTGGGGGTAGTGAGTGGCTGTGTGCTTCCATTGGGGGTGATCCCCCAAACACTGTGGCTTTATACAAACATGGTCATACTTGCAAGCTGTGCCATAGCTGCAGCCTTGTCGTCGTTGGAAGTCATAGCACACCTGCTTGCCCGTGGTCGGGTTGATAGTTGGCGTTGATCTACCTGGAGGACGGTTTGTTTGTTTGGTTGAGCCAGGCTGGTTGGTGTCAGGCTTGTGGAGGGATTGCTGGTAGATAAACTGACTCTCTGTGCCCCATTTACAACCAGTGGCGAATTGCATTCGTCGATAAAGGTCATCATAGTGGACGACGAGGGCTAGCGGGTAAATCTTGGCCAGCTCTGAGACTTTGGTGCTATATGATATGTAATTCATAATGTCTGACATAGTTGACAAGGTACCTTCTTTGACAAGTGGGTGCATGATCCTGAAGTTTGCTGCTGACCATTGTGGAAAGGTGATGTTGTTGAGCAGGGGCTTTTTCTCATGGCTAGTCTTTAATATGATTTGAGTGCCACCAGAAGCGCCAAGCACGGTCTCCCGGTCCTCTTCCAGAACCACTGGGAGGGAACTGACAAAATCTGGAATTAGCAGGGGACGCTTACCTCGGGGGGTGGTGTTGGGTTCCAGTAGTTTTTTGCGCTGGATCCGCCAATTCGTCAGAAAGACCAAGAACAATTGGGTCCCCTAGTGACTCTTCTAAGGCTTTAAGCTCCTCCTGAACCGCTGTGTCAGATTGCAACGCAGTTAGAGTGGGTACAGTCGCTCTTTGGGTCGTACACTGGCCTTGATTTCGTGTGTTGACGGTCGCCGGGTTTGGGGCGGCCATCTTGGATTGACATTCGTGTGCCATCGCGGACTTAACCCGAGCAAGCTCAATTTTGGCTCGTGTCAGTTCAAGTTCCAACTTCAAGTTCTCATTCTGAAGTTTGCTGATACTGGCGGCAGACTGCTTTTCTTCTTCGGGTGTAAAGGCCGGGGTTTGGAGTTTGTTGGCAGACTGTTTATCTGCTTCGGGTGTTAAGCTTTCAAGCAGAGACTCTACTTGGTAGAAACAATTCATCTCTAATCGCACGTGTCTGAAGGCTCTCTGTCGGATCTAATTCTAACTGGAGATCCTGCAAATGCTGGGGAGGTTTCTTCTCTCTCGTACTCCTTCTAAGCTTCATAATTCATAGAGGAGAAAGCCAGCTAAATCAAGCACATGTTAAGAGTTCTAGCAGCGTTCTGACAGTTCTAAAGCGCAGACTCCGGTTAACTAGTACCCAGGCTTCCCTCCTCCCCAGAGTTAAATGTAAATAAAATGAATATTATTACTACTTAAAAGCATTTCCACATCAAAAGCTGAGCACTTAACCTCGTTTTGAAATAGAGGCCCGGGGGAACTCGAAAATGGCCTGTTCTATCCTGTACTGTACCGATTACCCAAAAAAGTCTAACTTGTTTAATTATAAACCTGTTGATCTATTAAACTTTGTTTCAAGCTGTGTACCATGCGATTAATCAAGCGTTATTGAGGTTGGAAAAAAGGTAAGACTTTACCAATGCATGGGTACATATGTTAGCGTGGCCGAGTGGTCTAAGGCGCTGGTTTAAGGCACCAGTCTCTTCGGAGACGTGGGTTCGAATCCCACCGCTGCCATCCGAACATTTTGCTCTAAATTGCAACAAAAAATTAGCAAGTAATCACTGAACTCATACGCTACACGAAGAGATTCACTTTTCAAGGGGCGGCCAATATAGCAAAACCTTCTTTTCTTCATTTTCATTTCATTTCCGCAGCTCATATATTATTTATTTCATCTATCATTAACAAAACCTTGTTTTGTTTTACAACATTTCGGGCATTAGTCAGGGTAGATAGGTTATATACAAAACAAAAAGTCCGCTAAAAATCGTCCTCGGAAAAGGACTACACCTTACTTAGCATTGAATCCTTTTTTTGGAAAAAAAAGTTTTTATAAACACCTTCCAGCTCTTGGTCAATTCTATCCTACGTGTCGACTTCCCGCATGGAAAGTATTGCTTGAAATCTAACTTTTCATGCGACTGTTGATATACGGAACACGGCTTCGTAAATGAACAGGTTTATAAAAACCAACCTTCCACAAAATTCCACAAGGGGATTTCACTGATGACTGCCACTTAAACGCTTAAACGCTAGCCAAGCGTGTGTCCGCTGATTTTAGAGGGTGATGGTGGCATGGGCTTGTAAATTAGTATTTTAGGATCTTTTTAATATTTTTCTTTCATTTTTAGTCGAAATGAATTGTTTTTAATTGAAATGAGTTTTTTTAATTAAAACGTATTTTTTTTTAATCGAAATGAACAGGAGCTTATGAAATGAAATGACTTGTAAATAGTGCTTTGACTGAATAGTCAAAGTGAGTTGTATCACGTCAGTGGATGGTATTATACTCTGGTTATTGATCTGATTGGTCAATTATGTCGCGATGTTATTGGTCGTCTGTCAGTTAAGCCGTGATGTTATTGACCAATCAGATCAATAACCAGAGTATAATACCATCCACTGACGTGATACAACTCACTTTGACTCTGAAGATGACTACCGCACAGGTTGTCGAAACGTCAGTCACTATCAACAACAACAGTCCTATTCAGGACTACGTTCACCCGGACGATCAAACTCAACCTTTTGAAATGACTCCCGGGTTCAAACCTTTCACAGAATATTTTTTTCTTCTTCAGCGAAATTGATTGTAAATGGGTTTTAATAGTTAGTTTTGTTATCAATA